CCTGTAGATTTACAACCACAAATGTTCTGCGGGATGAGGATCTTAAATGCTCGTGCAATACTGGCCCGTGCCCAAGTGCTGGGGAAGTCGTGTAATAAATCAGGCACGTGTCTGAAAAACGGAGGTGCATTTTACTTTCAGTTTAATTTCCTGACATGCTGGTTACAGCGCTTTCTGCAGCCTGAGTTCTCTTCTTACGGCCTGTAGATTTACAACCACAAATGTTCTGCGGGATGAGGATCTTAAATGCTCGTGCAATACTGGCCCGTGCTCCTAGAATTGATCTGATTCCTTAGTAAATTGTGAAGATGCCTTTTTTCAGTGCAGTGTGCAGCTGGAGAAAGCTGTCATGTTTCCTGGATTCTTGGGGGTTTTTATTTAAAGGAATATTTTCAAAACCAAACAATCGTGGCCGTTAACTCCCAGAAATCCTCCCGTGACGTTGACCCCGAAATAAAAATAGCATCTCTAGAAGATGCTCTGCTTTGAGTACGTTGGAGTGTGTCAGGATAAAGTGCAAAGAATCTCACCAATCTGTTTTCGAGTCCTACATTCTTCGTGGAAGAAAAATCCCTTGTGCTTGCTGCACGAGGAAAACGTCTTGGCTCTTGGTGCATGTCATGAAATACTTTGTGTGGGAAAGGGAAGCACATACACTGGGTAGCAGAACCTACAGCTGCTTTAGCTAAGGGTTTCCTCACCGAAGCTGAAGAAAATCTCATTCATATTTAATAAGTTATACAGCAAAACCCCAATATATCGCATTGAGAATATATGCCCAAATATTTACTTTCTGAATTTTCTATGAGGCCTTGTAACTCTCTAAATAACTTCTTAATTATCATTTGCAGTTTGGGAAAAGGAAATACTCCAAGCGCAACCTTTTGCTGTTCAAACAGACGGTGCTTCACGCCCCGACTGCCGAGCTGTAGGAGCGAAGCGCCGGGTACAGCTCACTCAGTAACCGGGTGCTTGTTAAACCCCAGGCCTTTGGCTGACGCGTAAACTGTCCGTCTGCATGCTCCATGGCATGCCTCGGTTCGGTTTGTCCAGTGCTGATTGGATTAAGTTGACAAATGAAACAGCCTTAGAGGATAAAACTACCAGAAATAAGATTCTGCATCTTTTTAAACAGAGCAAGTGGGTTTAGCTGGTCACAAAAACCTCTTTCGGAAGAAATCCTGGTTTGGTTCAGCTGCAACTGTGAATTCTTTAACCCGGCCGCAGTTGTGCCACGGTGGCTGCCGGAGGGTGACGCTGGCTGGAGGGAGCCTCTAGTGAAAGGGGACTTTTGGGTCATAACAACTGTGTCCAGCAAAATGCTCGCTTCTCTCTGCGGGGCGAGGTGTTTAGTTTACCGGCTGGTGGTGTGCGGTGCTGCAGGAGAATAAGCTGTGCCAGCGTATTTGGAGCGGTTAGCTTGCGGGGTCTGTTGGACCCGTCCCCAGCGCGACTTAAAAAGGAAACCAGTAAACCTCGTGCTGAGAGAGCAAGCCAGAATTCCTCTCTTCTGTAAGCTACGTGTCAGTGCTCTGAAAAACTGAGTTGTGCTTAGTTAACGGAGCTTAGTGAAACGACAAGTGAGACCGTGGCTTGTCAGCTGAAAAGTGGGAGTCCTCTGGCAGAGTCCAGGGGACTGGGACACTGGGGGAGCCGTAGCTCCGCTTTGTGGGGAAACCGTTCTGGCAATCAAACAGGCATTCCCGTTTTCAGCCCTGGGGAGAAGCCTGATGAGAAGCTCGGCGGGAACTGGGTAGAACAACTACTTCCTAAAGTAGAGCAGGGTTTTCTCCCTTAACCTCAAATATGTGAAGAACAGCGTGACCTGCCCTGAGGAGGCTGTTGGCCTCTTTTTTGCGTGATGGTTTTATTGCTGCTTTTTTTCTTCTGAACTGTGAGATAAATCCAGAGAGAGCGCGCTTCGCTTCCGCTGGTTTGTCAGAGCCGAGTGGCTGGAACGCTCCCCTGCCCCTGCAGCGAGACGCGCTTGTGAGGCCTTTCGGGAAAGGTAACGGTGCACGTGCAGGAACGTTTGTGTTCCTGGTGCTCGGCATTTAGTTTGTCAGGAGCAAATCAGCTTTGGGATTTTTTTTTTTCATTTGCACGTGGTCTTGTGTAAAGCTTGGTGTGAAAAACCTGCTGTATGAGACGTGACTGAAGAGATTTGAGTCTCTGCTCCCTGAAGGAGATGGGTCTGGCCAGGGGCAGGGATGTTATTAAGGTCTGTGAAGTCATGAGTGGCACGTCAAGAGGCAGGAGAGGAGAATTGCCTTCCCTCCGCCTCCTGTCCCCCAAGAGCCAGCCAGCATCACGAGCAAATAGCAGGTGACGTTGTCACGAGTGGACGGAGGTGGTGCTTGGCCCCGCGGGGCGCTGGGGGTGCTGCAGCAGAGGGGCACCGAGGGAGGGATTAGATCGCTTCGCTGGAAAACCCCCTCTGGAGAGCTGTTGCGTACGGAGGTGCTCCATCCCGTGGCCCCGAACTGTGGGGCTCTGGGACAGCTTTGTGCATCAGGCCAGCTTTTGGCTTGGCTGTTTCCGTGCTTATCCTTACCTGGGCGCAGGACAGGAGACAGGTAATGGGTCAGACGGACGTTTTGCTGCCAGTACGGTGTTTTACATACCCCAGTTGTTCGTGTGGTTTATCTTGGCCAAACTGTGCTCTCGTGGATAGGACACCTGACGACTGAGGCACCCGTAGTACGTTTCTGTATCTTTTAAACACTGAGGGGTTATCAGAAGTTGATGGGATAATGACTAAACTATCTGATGGTTTGTATTAGTTTTGTTGGGGAAAGGAGTACTTTCTGAGTTGATGTCTGTGCGGGAATTAGTAACTGGAGCAGAAAGACTTGATGTATCTTGCTGCAGGAGTGTCGAAAGTTATTGCTAGGGGAGAGAGTAGGAGGCAGCTGAAGGGCGTGCAGACGTTCCTTGAAACCTTAAAACCACCCTCATCATCGTTTTATGCCCAAATACTGGATTTTGCACTGATGAAGGTGAAATGTTATGCATACGTCAGTGTGAGGACAGCTGTTGGGAGCAGTGTGAATCACCCAGTGTGGCTGTAGCTGGTGTGTGGTGACCACGAGGGTTCTTTGTCGCCTCCAAGCAGTTCACTAGGTGAAGGAGCACCGGACTGGTGCTTGAGAGGAAGGTAGTGGTGGAAGAAGCAGCAGTTGTGTGATTGTGTGCATGGCAGAACTCTCTTGCTCTCACAGGAGATTATGAACCCTGAAGCCCGTTTACGTGAAGCAGAGAGGTGGGAGCTGTGCTGGCTGAGGGCCACGCGGACAGCTCGTCAGAGCCTACGGAGAAAGATGGACCCAAGAGCTAGACTTCGTGTCTGCAGGTGGCACCTGAGCTTCCCACCTAGTTCCTGTGTATTCATCCCCCAAAATTTAGTCTCAAACCATATCCCTCCTAGAGCGGTGTTCAATCGCTGCACAGCTTCAAAGACCTGGAAGGTTTCTTCTTCTTCTGGTACACTGAAGTCTAAGAAATGGCATTGTGGACAAATTCAGTAGTCAGAAACTCGAGCTGATGAACCTTGTGGCCTTGTTAGCACGATCAAAAAAAGTTTCTGCTCTCGGAAATCTCCTCTCTGCTTTTTTGTGGAGTTCAGGGGTCATCACCTGGCAGGCTCTGCCAGGAGTTGTGCAGATGCAGGTCCGTAAGGTCGTCATCGCAGAGCTGGCCCTCCTGCCTTCGAACCCTTCTGTGATCCTTTGAAGGACTTCAGCGCATTAAGAGTACGTAGCTGGAAGCCTAGTGTGGAAGTAAGGGGGGGTGTGATTATACGCAGGAAATTCATCATCTCCGTGGGCAGATTCTGTTAGTGACAGCACTTCTTGTTTTGTTCCTGCCTCTCTCACGCTCTTGATTGTTTGGGATCTCGATGCCCTCTACTTGAGGGTGTTTACGTGCAAGAATTAAAATACATCTGTTTAATTCTAGATGTACGCAACACTGATTTTTTTTTTTTTTTTCCCCTTTCACAAATGTTTTAAGTGAGTTGCTAAATAGCAAAAACTTTAAAATATAGGGTGAGTTGGGTTGGTTTTTTTCCGGTTGGGATTTCTTTACTTCAAAAATGCGAATGTGGGATAAGTTAACTACTTGAGTTGCTTTTCAGTCCGGCTCCTCTACCCTTTGACCTTTCTTGAGGGAATTTTCTACTCATGAAATATGGTTCGGATGTTACTTTACACATGATCAGTTGTAAATGAGCCAAGACTGGAAGGTGACGAAATCTATCTCTACGTAAGGCTAATCCTGTATGTATAAGCAAAACAATGCCAGGTGTATTAGACCTGTCAAAGACTTCGGCTTTAGGGGAACTTACCTAACATTCCAATAAAAAAAAAGGAAAGGTAGCCTACAGCCATACTTCCCAGCTGTCTGAAAACTTCTAAATCTTCCAGTGAAATGGTTTATCCCTGAAATCTGTGAGTAGAATTCTTACTATTCACTCAGTGTCTCAGAGAGCTGCGGTGGGAAGTCGGGAGGCACCTCTTGCCTGCAGTGCGATACAGGTGGAATATCCAGAGCCCTGGGGTTTTTTAACACAAAGTTAGGCTTCTGAAAGCAGATCACCTTGAATCTCAGGTTAGAACCACCTCCTCGCCCGTCCTGTTTGCTCACGGGGTGTTTGGGTTTGGGGGGGAGAGGCGGGGAGTGAAGGGAGAAGCTGGGGCGGCGGGTGATGGTGACACGCCAACAGCTTCCAGCAGCGTTCCAGCAGCCCGGGCTCGAGCCTGGCCTCATGGAGGCTGTGTGCTTCCTCTGTGAAGCCATCTGTAAGTGAGTTTTGCTATTGCAGTACTAAGTTTTGTTTCTGAATCGTAGTGTACAGTTTAAACTTTAATTTTCCCCCCCCAGCTTTAATCTGGGTAGCTCCTCTGTTGCCTACCGTTGGGTGTGCTTCAGTAAGTGCTGCTTTGGCTGCGTGCTTCGAGCTAACGAGCGTGTTTTACTGTCTCCTTTCAATCCTCGCCAAGGCTCTACGTGTCCCCGAGAAAATCTACCGCAGATCAGAAAACGGACTCGCCTTTAAAGTGGTGCCGGCAGGTGCTGGATAATCCCAGCCCCGAGACGGAGGCGGCCTGCCGAACCCTCATCAACAGGCTCGACCAAGGTACGTGAGTGATCGGCGCTGCTCTGCCTTTTATTTCCACTTCAAGGGGGACTGGACCTTACTGAGAAGCAGTAAAGCGAAGGAGACGTGAAGTTTGCGGTGGCTGCAGCGGAGAGAACAGCTGCAGGGGTGGCGCTTGGCAGGGGGGGGGTGCTCTCGGTGCGGGTTCTGCGTTTGCCGCTGCGTTAAAAACCTGCCTGCTTTTGGGTTACCTCGGTCACGCCTCAGCTGGGGAAGGTGGGAGATCACGCTGTAAACGTCAAGAAAGCTCGGCTGATCACAGGGAATAGCCACAACAAACCCAACTCTGGTGTTTTGCCTCCATGTGCTTTTTAAGACACAAGTAGAGGCGTTTCAGATTAATTGCTAAATGGACCACCTTGCTTTCTGCAGGTTTTTTTTTAGTGTGTTCAGAGCCTGAACACTAAAATACATGTTAGTGTTTTCAGGTTCTTGGGGGTTTTTTTGAAAAAATATTTCAACATCTTTGATGTAAAAATGTGTAGAGGAAAAAATGTGCCTCCGGCGAGTGGGGAGAGCATCCCATGAAACTGTTATTGCAGGTTTTTTCTGTATAAAGACTTCTAGTGTGGTTGATTGTTTCTAACAGTGATTGTTCTCACTGTGTCTTACCATTAGTATTGTTGCCTGGGTAAAATAGTTGGCTGATGCTCAAAGCTGGCACTAAGGAAACGTTAAAATCTGTGACTTGAAGTGCTGTCACTTGGAAACCGAGTTTTTCCTCCAGGTTTATCCTCCCCTAAAAGCACTCGGTGGTGACTGTCAGCTGTGCAACTTCACCACGGTGGGGGGGGAAAGATCCCCTCCTGCACCTGCCGGAACCGAGGGCGCTACGGGGTGTTCAGGGTCGGGGTGTTGAGGGTCGTGCCGCCCACCACCGGCACGGTCGCTGCTCTGGGGCCGTGGGTTTGGGTGTTCGCTTTTCCCTTTCCAGAGCCCGGGAGGGTCGCTCCGTGTCAGCCTGACGCTGACGGCGGAGCTGTTAGAATAGATGAGCAGTTTGTTTCATCGCCAAACCGAGGAGTTAGCTCTGTTTCTCCACCTCGGTAGTACATCCCCCGCCATCCACCCGGTGGAGATCCTGCCTTTGTCTCCTCGAGCGCGCGCGCGCGCGCCGGGTTTGCGTGTAGAACGCGCGAGTCCCGCGCTGCCCTGCTGACAGCCGAGGCAGGGAGGGCCGCCAGCCAGCCTTCTGCGCCCTGTACCGCAGCTTTCTGTGTCGTGTGGCTGTGCTGGGCCGTACCCTGCAGCTGGAGGGGTCATGGGTTCCGTTATTTTCCCCTAACGGCTCGTGGCTGAAAAGCGCGGCGGAGCGGGGCGTGCGGCAGCCTCGTCTCTCTGGTCTGACTCGTGAACACCTCAGCCCGACGGCTGCGGTCAGCAGCGTTTGAAAAAAAGGGACGTTTCTGAGCGGAGGGGTGTTTGGAAGCGCGGGGACGTCCTTGACTGCTGAAAACACAACCCCCAGCTGGGTACAAAAGCCGTTGTCTGCCTGCGTTTTGAGCGGGCTGGCTTTGTCTGCTGGCTGAATGCAGGAATCCTGATTTCAGTTTGACCAGCAATCTGACCTCAGTGCTGGGAAGTCCGAGAGGCCCCTGCTTGGGTTTGGTGTCGGTTTTGTGGTTGGTTTTTCTTTGTTTGGGTTTTTTTTTTTTTTAAACTTTACATACTAACAGTGTTTTGGCGCGGCCTGTAATCAGTCTTATTTTGAGTTTAGCCTTGAAATTCCTGATTTGAGATAACTGAATGTCGTTTGAGAGCAAACTTCGTTTACTTTTATAAACCATCTGTGCTTAAAAAGGCAAATGAAGGTTCGTTGGATGAACTTTGCTCTCCGTCTGAGGTGTGTCAGGCTTCATTTGTACTCTGTCCCTCCTTGTTAATGAAAACAGCTTGACCTTGTATTTGTGGGGGAAATCAAGCAAGCAAGCTATTTGTATAGTGAATCTTCATTATTTTCATAGCCAATATTCTCTCAGTGGTAAGGATGCGGTGAGCAGCTCGGCAGCCCCTTGAATATACGCAGATTGTCACTTCCTTAGCGTTGTCGCTGCTTATTTCCAGCTTCAGGGACGCAGGGATGCACCGGGTTTGGCTGCCTGGCTGCTTGTTGATTGTTTCACTAACTCCTATGCGAGTCTGTGTGCTGAGTAAGGATTTCGGAATAGTCATTTTTCATATTAATTTGCTCTCCTTTTAAGTCTAAAGGCATGGTTTTTGTGGCCTGATGCTGTTTTGATGCCATCATTCAAAAATTCAAAATAACACCTGTCCAGTGGAGCTCCTTAAAGTGGAGGTGGGGCGTAGAAGTGACCGTATTTCTGAAAACAGCCGCCTTTGAAGACCAGCACTGGGACATTCAGAAATGTGTGGTTTCTTTAAAGCCAAGTTTGTCAGTAGTTATTCTTGGGATTCTTCAGAGGTGACAAAAACGAGTTAAAGGGGAGAGCGAGCGAGGGAGCAGGCGCCGCTTTGCTGCCTGCATCCCGTAACCGGCACCAGCGAGATGTCTGATTTGAAGTACGTCTGTTACAGCAGTTAATCCTGTTTGATCTGATGCCTTTCTGTATCTTATGCTTTTTTTTTAAAAAAAAATTGATAACCTTTATGGCTTTTTTGTATTTTTCCTTCTAGCCAGTAGATGGAAAAACCTGTATTGCAGCCCACTGGCGTCGCCAAGCGCACATAATTTGAATACAGAGGCAGGCTCCTGTAGCAATGCACTAAACTCTCCCGGGCATCTCAAATCGACTAACAAAGCACTACTAACCTGTGGCAGCTCAGGTATGGCATGTCAGTAGAGCGGCGCAAACCTGCAGCGTTTAAAATGCAAGGAGTATTACCGAGGGACACGGGGAAAAGTTGTCCGGAGATGCAAGCCCACCCGTGGGGGTTTCTTCGGTTAATTTGCTCGCTGAGTGACCTGGGTTTCCTCTATTACGTGGCAGAAAACTTCCTTGCATTCTAAATGTCGTGTAGTTATTTCATGTTTTTGTTTTTATAACTTTGTATTTATAAGTTGTACTAATTTAAAGTGACTTAAAATAGAAAACAGCTGTCGGGGCAAAGAAAATACTGCTTTTGAATGATGTTACCGTATGTAGGTGTTAACTTTGTGTTGGAGTCCGTTTTCTGGCTTGAAGTTTGCGAAGTTTCCTTTGAAAATAGTAACTCAGGCGACAGAAAGAAGCCCCGTGCTTTAAGATACGAGGCGTGGTCGCCAGGATAAGCCTTTAAATGGGCCTAAACACAAAACAAGGAAAGCTTTCCGTCGGGCTCGGTTGTGTTTGGAGTGAGATTTCCTCCCTTAGAGGCCACAAAGTTCTCGTTCGAAGCCCGTGTTTGTAGGTAGCTTGTAATGAAGCTTCTCCTAAATGGCTTGGCCTCCACTCTGCCTTTGCATTTAAGCTGCTGCCCGAGGGTCCGTGTAGGGTCTTTCAGGAGCTTCGTTTACCCTCGATGCATGGGTGCTGTTTCCCAGTGCCAGTGCTTTGCCTCCGGGCTTTGTTAGCCAAGGAGTCTCCCTTGGTTCGTTTGGGTTTTGTGGAAACGGCTGTATCCCGATTTGCACGCTTAAAAACACAAAGCATGTTTATCTGGCTTGAAACCTGATGTTGTGTGAACCTTTTTTTCTTTTCCAAGAAAAAGGAGGGCGGCTGGGTGTTGTCACAGCTGCAGGTGTGCTTGTGAGATCTGCGGGGTTCCTGCTGCAAAGAGGAATGAACACTTAGCTCTGCTTCGCAAACAAAGGGATGCTTGGGTTTGCCCCCTGAGTTCTGCAGGGACAAACCCCTAAATCAGTTTCTAGTTTTTCACGTGAGGTTGCGGGGCGGTCTAGATGCCAAACCACCTTTCGCACAGCCGCGGTTGCTGATGGGTGAAGCCGAAGTGCCCGTGCAGCCTCCAGATCTCTTCCTTCCCTCTGCAAATCCGCTGAAAACCGGTTACAAAATCCAGAGGTGGCGTATTGTGAAGTTGCTGTAACAAAAACCATAATCGGTTCGTCCCAAGCCACAAGTTTTTCCTGATGAAAGAATGTGGATGTTTTTCTTCCCCTCCCTGACTGTCCTTAAATAGACCTGCAGTTTGAAACGCAGCAGCCGAGCTGAGTGGGGAACTTTGCTTGTTCAAAAGCTGCGTTTGACGCACAGCTGCAGTGAAAATGCAGCTTTTAGGGCAAAAGGTGTCAGTCACAGCAGGGAAGCCATGCCTGCTCGCTGCACCGTGCCCTGCAGGCGCAGGCCCTGCTCTCACGTTGGCTTTACTCCAGCTGCTTGCCGTGGCTTTTCCTGGGGTTGTCACACCGCCGTGCTGCCTCGGGGCTGGGGTGGCCTCCCTGTGTCACACGCACCCGCGCAGACGCCCCCCTTGCACCGCGGTCACGCTTCTGTCACTGTTCCAGAAGCATCTTGAAACTGGAAAAACTTTGTCTGCTCCGATGAGGAATTGTGGCTTCCTGCTCCAGAGCTCTTTGCTCAACGTCCACGTAAGACACTTGTTTTACTCCAAACGTGCGTTTTCCCTGGCAGCGGTCCCTGCGCCTCAGAACTGGTTGAAGAGGTAACACTGGGAACTTGCTGCTTTTTTTTTTGGTTTTCCTCTCTGCCTGCCTGGAATCAGCCGTTGTTTGACAGGCTCAGCGATGGATTTTTAGATGTTTTCCTGAGAACAGACAAACCGTTTCTTTCTCGTGTCCTTGAGAACGAGGAGGCGCGCTGCCTCCAGGACTTTGGGCAGAACTGCGCGCGCTCAAGCAGCAGTCGGTGGTCCCTGCTACCCGGCGGGCGCTCGGGAGGCTGACTGACATTCCTGGGTTGTCCCTGGCGCACCACAGCCCGCCTGTCGCTGCTGTTCAGGTGATGATCTGGGCTCCCTGCTGGGGCAGGCTCTGTATTTCTCAGGCCTGCTCTAGCTGAAGGTGATGTCAAGTGCTCTTGGGTACCCACCGGCTTTAGCTGATCTTTTGTCAGATCGTGGGGTTTAATGAGGTTTTTTATGAGGGTTTTTTTCTCTTTTTTTTGGAGGGTCTAAATCTCCACGGTACTAATTGCAGCCTTGTCTTGGAATTACTTGAAGGCAATGATGTGCTCTCTCCTGACACGGCTGTGCAAGTTATACAGTCTTGTGTGTCCGTGTTGGAGGGCTAGTTATGCCAGGAGCGTGTCAGGGTAGTTCCTAACACGTAGCACAGATAAGCACCTTTGCCAGGTTTCACATTCACTAATCCTTCTGTCTTTCCAAAAATTTTTCTAGCACTGTTTGTTGTTGTTTGGAGGGGTTTTTTTTATTGTTCTGTGGGGATTTTTTCACTATTTTTTATAGGATGGTAGTTATAAAACAGGGAGAGAAGATGGAGGCACGCTCAGCGGTGCGTGCTCTCTCTCAAAGGCACTACCCCGAGCCAAAGTGAAAGTTGGTGGGATGGTAGCGAGGTTCTCCCCTCGCTGCCTGCATCTGCCCGCCCTCTGCAGATGGAGCTGGGCTGAGCTGGTGCGTAGCCTTCCCGCAGGGAGGAGGAGTAGGGCCTGAGGAAGGCCAAGCAGGTGGTGATACCACAGCGCCACGTACAAGCCTCCCGCCTCTGCAGGGCAAGGACCAGCGTAACCCCGAAGCTCCGTGGCTTCGGGAGCAAGCAGCGGTACTCCTGTGCCAGGGAAAATACTGACTTGCTTAAGAACAAGTACGAACAGGTGAAAGTTTGCGCTGAACGATGGTTGTGGTGAAATTTTTATTATTCTTCTTCAAAAGGAAAATTCCTCGTTCCTCTTCCTACTCCCTGACTTATGGAAAAACTGCCCTGGTGGGAAGATCCTCCCAGGTTCTTTTTCACGACCCGCTGTGTGAACGAGCGACGTCCTTCCCTGTAACGAGGGAGTTTGCTTTATGATGATGGGGGGAAAAACCAGATAAACCTCAGGAGCAGGGAGGAGGCACCCCAGTGTAAACTCTGCCTTGCGTGAGCAGGCTCGCCTGGCAGATTTTGGAGGTGCGGCGGTCTGCAAGCCATTTGGATCCTTTGACTCCTGCGACTGCTCACCAACGCCCTAGCAAGCCCTTTGTGCCGCTCTGCTGCTTCACGTGGAGCTCAATAGTTGCCCCTTTCTCCAAAGAGGCAGAAATAACAGTGCTCAAAATGACCCAGCGTCCCTTTGGCACCTTCTGGAGAGAAGCCTGCGGTTTTTTTGCCCTGCACAAAGACACTCTGCCTCCTGCAAAGCGCAGGTTAAAACGCGGAGCGTTGAGTTCTCGAGTCATTTCTAACTTAATTAGTTCTGTTTCTGTTCGCAACCGCGCTGGCTTTAGTACGGGAATAAATTCTCTGTCGCTCGTTCTGCTTTTGTCCGCGGCTGGCTGAAGGCTTTTTCCGTTCCTCCCCCCAGGCTACCTGAGCATGCATTCGGCGCTGAGCTCCCAGTCGTCTGTGGACAGCGAGCTGAGCACGTCGGACGACTCCATCTCGATGGGCTACAAGCTGCAGGACCTGACTGATGTCCAGGTTATGGCGCGCCTTCAGGAAGAAAGTACGTGACGGCCATCCCCTTTGGGTTACGGCTGTGGGATTGTAGAGGAATGTAGGGAGATTCCACCTGTGCTTCCCTTTTTCCCCACCAAAAGAAAAAAAAAGAGGAGGGAATGGATCGTTTGAGATGTTGGTGATTTGCAGGGGCTTCCTTTGAACATCTGCAGACCCCAGCTGCCACGTCAGCTTGGCGGCTGTGCAGCGTTCTCAAGGTTACACCTCTTCAAGCAGGGGATAGTCTTGACAGGATTGCCCCAAGCCCTTGTTAAATACGTCCGCGCCCTTTGATACTCAAAAATACCCCGTCCCAGGTCACCTCTGAAGTACAGGTGACGTTTCCTGCGTCGTTGTGTCGGAAATCGTGGCAGTTTGAACAGCAGCAGCTCGCAGTTGCCCGTCTGGCTGCTGCCAGAGCCAACGCGAGCTGCTGCGTCCTGCAGCGCCTGTTGGTTTGGGGGAACGCATCCAGCTGCCAAAAAAAAAAAAATAACCCAGCAAAATTTTTTGGCTTGTAAATTTGTGTTTTTTCGGAGCAGGCTGCCTAACTGCAGCCTGAGATCCCGTTGGGAGCTGTCTGGAGGGCTGGATTTTACAAGTCCTTTGTTTCACGGAAGGTGCAAGTAGCATTTCGCTGCTGCGTTGAGTAAATCCGAGCTCAAGGGTGCTAAAGCTGCAGGAGCTGAAATGACAATTTAAGTGTTGCTCTGGGAAAGAGCTCGGAGACAGCTCTGGAAATGGGACGTCAGCGTACAGCGTGTCTGCCTCCCCACGGGGGGGATTTCGGGCCCTGGTCCAGTTCCCATTAAAGCGTCAGTGAACTGTCTGTGGACTTGGGTGTGGGTTGGACGAGGTCCTGATGGAAGATGGAGGTGGAGCAAAGTGGTTGGGTCTGTTGGTCGGGGCGAATTAATCGTTAATTTGATTTGCAGGAAACCGAGAATGAAGTTCTCTGGTTTTCTTCTGGAGAACACTTAACTTTTAGTTCTGGGCCTTTTATAAGTTGGAAGAATAGGAACTGGAATAGGAGACCAAACAGAGCAAAAAACGTGAGATCTTGTGATCGCTTTGACACCCGAGCACGGTTGTATTGAAGAGAATACAGCGAGTAACGGCCTTTTTCTTTCTAAACTTGAATATTTTCATATGCTTTGTGAGCATTTAAAAAAAAAAAAGTCAAGGAAATCCCGTCCCATTACACAGTTTCCAGTGAAATACGAAAAGCGCTTCATCCTCAGAACGATGGGAGCTTTTCGTACCTGCGTTGTGAGGGGAGAAGGGCAGGGAACGCTTGGGGGTTTTAATCCCTGCAGTGAAGGGACTGCACTGAGAAGAGGGTTTTCCAGAACTTTACCTGACGTCTTTCTCAAAAGTCCCTTCAACCAGTTTGCTGTTAGCTCCTGGTAAGGAGTTCCTTGTGGTCAGGCAAGAAGACTTAGAGAAAGGCCAACGTTGGGGGAGGACCCGTAAAGAAACCAGGCTGTAGGTGTCAATGAAAGGGGGCGGGTTTCCCTTGGAGGCAGAAGTCCAGATCTTTGTTTCACCCTGTTGAAATGCTGGTGGGTGCACAATTAAATGAACTAAAAAAAACTCGTGCTGTAAATGAGACTCCTGTGCCTAGTTAACCCAGCGGAGCTTGTGTGGCAATATATAGCCCGCAGCCGCCCGTGTATGTGACCTACGGAGTAATTCAGGCCGATTCGAACATTAACTCTTTGCTCTAATTAAATATGGGTGACACTGTTCCAGTTTAGAGAATCCACCCAGTCTTCAGTGAGGAGTTATTAACTGGATTCTCCTTCCAAGGTGAAACGGGTCACCGCTGAAGGCCTTGCTTCTGAATTTGTGTAGCGAACGGATAAGGAATTTCTCTTTTTTCATTTTTTGATGTGACTTTGAGCCGTGTTGCCCGCTGTCTCCAGGCCTCCGTCAGGACTGTGCCTCCAGCTCCGCTTCGGTGTCGCGCCGCAGTTCCAGTGCCTCCCTTCACTCCCTGCGGAGAGGGACCTACAGCGACCAGGAGTTCGACACGTACAGCCTGGAGGACGAGGACGATTACGACTGCTCCCTGTCCTACCGCAGCGCTCACAGGTACTCGCCGTCTCCGCTCAGCTCGCCCCGCTGCCAGTCCCCGTCTTCCAGCGCCGATTACGGCAGGTCTTCGACTTCCCGCATCCGTCCCCCGAGGAGGTCGGTGCAAAGTCCCATGCAGGACCGGCTCAAGTACGCCAACAGCGAAGGTGAGCTGCTTGTGAGTGCACAAACGTACCCGGCGGTGACGTGCAAGCGGGAGGGGTGGCTGACGCCCCCGCGGGGCGGTGTTGCCACCCGGCGAGACCTGGGTGGGCTGGAGAGCCGGGCGGGGAGACATCGAATGAACTCCCACAAGGGCGAGCGTTGAGTCTTGCGTCTGGGAGGGAACAACCCCGTGGACCAGTAGGGGTTGGGGATGGAGCTGTTGGAGAGCAGCGTAGGGGAAAGGGACCTGGGCGTCCTGGTGGGCAGCAGGGTGCCCATGAGCCACCAATGTGCCCTGGTGGCCAAGAAGGCCAATGGCATCCGGGGGGGTATGAGAAGGGCTGTGGTCAGTAGGTGGAGAGAGGTTCTCCGCTCTGCCCTGGTGAGACCCCATCTGCAATAGTGTGTCCAGGTCTGGGCCCCTCAGTTCCAGAAGGATGGGGAACTGCTGGGAAGAGTCCAGAGCAGAGCCACAAAGGGGATGAAGGCGGTGGAACATCTCCCTCCTGAGGAAAGGCTGAGGGAGCTGGGTCTCTTGAGCTTGGAGGAGACTGAGGGGTGACCTCCTCAATGGTTATCAATACGTGAAGGGCGAGTGTCAGGAGGATGGAGCCGGGTTCTTCTCGGTGATGGGCAATGACGGGGCAACGGGTGCAAGCTGGAGCACAGGAGGTTCCACCTGAACGTGAGGAAGAACTTCTTTAAGGGTGACAGAGCCCTGGCACAGGCTGC